GTTAAAGAAACACAAAAATTCTTATATGGCAGAGAGGGGCCATATATGTATTGTAAATGTTTGAATGGCACAGCTCATCATTCACATGTCAAGAATCAACAAAGCATAGTTCTACTGTACAGCCGTTTGGCATTATGTCTAAAGTGTCCTCATTCAAAGAGAGATATCTTTATGCAGTCTGTAAATATGTCACTGAACACAGCAACCTGAAATGCCACCCACAGTTTGCAGTAGTACAGCTATTAATGCTTATTTTAGTGTTTCAGGTGGATTTGGGATGCAGTAATTTTATCTTCTTTCCCAATAATGATTTTGCTATGTAGAGATGACAAAAGATATTTGTTAAAAACGTAGCAGGATGAGTTCTGTTTAGTTTGCACGGGAGTAAAGAGAGGGGAGAGGGAATAAAGGGAGTGTATAGAAACAAAGGGGGGCAGAATCTGGGAGGACTGGATAACAGAAGAAGAAGGGCAGGGACTCAAGCCACAATAGGATAGAAAAAAAGGGGGGCGGGGATGGCAGGGAGCAGGAGAGTAAACAGGGGCAGAAAGAGAAGCTTCTATAACTACACCAGCCCCCTCCCCTTCAGAGTGGATGTAAACCAGAGGTCTTGAGTCCTCTTTTCCTCTACTGTTAGCCTATACTTCTGAACCCCACTAGCAAAGTATATACCACCTCCCTTTCTAGTGTGTGGCCCACATAGATGATAATGGCCTACTGCTGCTACCTCAGTCACTCCATTAGCTCAGGTGGTCCAAGTAGACAAAAGTATACTTTTGTGGACAAAAGTATGAATACTGATGATCACTGAAATCATCCTCAGTATGGTTCCACCAGATGACATTCTATTGTATTTTTCAAATTAAGGAATTACATTTAAAATCTATTAATTTTGCAAAGCTAAGCACTCCAAAGTTAGGACACATGGGAATTAAATAATCTTGTAGGGTTGTTGTATCCATGATGGTCAGGGAATATATAAGAAGCAAGATCTGTTCAGTAATATCTTCTATTTGAACAACCAGACACATTCTGCTTCACAGGAAGTGAGGTTATTCTTACAACTTTAATCCAGCCTTTGTGTGTTATACCTTATGATACAATTATGTGTTGTTTTTTTTCCCACAGGACTTCTGACTCACTCAATGGCCAGAATAGATAATGCCCTGAGAATGACTCTTCATAAATACTGAATAAAGCTGTTATCTGCAGGACTACTGCTTCTTTTTTTTAAGGGATTGAACTGTGGATAGCACGTAAGACAAGAGACTGCAAGAAAAGGAAGGATGTTGTAATGATTTGGAGAGCTGAATACCATTCTGGAGAACTGGATTCCATCTTTGCATCTATCACAGAACTCCTCTATGATGCAAGACAAGTCACTTAAATCACTCACGGTTGACCACTGAGGGACCATTGATAGCACTCATTTCTGGCGCTAGGTGGCTCCATCCTGAGACATACTGCACTTGCTCCTCACATGCTACCTTCAAACCAGCAGTAGTAAAGCTGCATACAACAGCCTCTGCATAAGTAGCAGAGGTGTAGCAGGGCAGCTCCATGGTTTGGGCAGCAGCAGTCCATATGGCTATTTTTTGTGTCCCTTCCAAAAAGTAATGCTCAGGGCTACTGCTCCAGCACCTCCTCTCCCCAGACTGCTATGCCAGTGCCCCCTCCTGCCCCAGTTACACTGCTGATAAGGAAAACTCACTGGCATAGAAACCACTCTCTGCTAGAAAGCTATGTTCAGAGATGTAAGTAGGAATTTTGGTGCTCTGAGCAGGAGAGAGGAGTGGAAAGCAAGGGGGTGATAGGGAAGAGAAAATAGGAGGCCTGAATGCTTACCTCTTTGCAAAGAGGCTGCTGTGGATGGCATGTCCTCTAAATCGGTGCCCAGGGCTGGTGCCTTACTCACCAACCTTAGTTATGCTATAGGCGATGCTGTTCCTGGTTTGGGAAGGGGATGTGTGGAGCAAGTGTGGCATATCCCAGCATGGCACTGCATGGCACTTGTAAATGAGTAGTATTGAGTCTGTGCTCCTCATTTCTGGGTGCTTGGTATAAGATGCATGGAGACTGCACAATTGCAACTGAAGTCAGTAGGAGCTGAAAAACCAGATCCCAGGGTCCTGCAAATTGGCTAACAAATTAGTGGACACTTCTGGTCTCAACCTCTCAGTTCCTTATGTGTAAAATAGAAATAATAATTATGCCTAATGCTACAAACATACTATGAAGATAAATTCACTGATACAAAGAATTTGGTTACTATGGAGGGAGACCCTTGGAAACACTCCGGAATGAATTATTGATGTAATAATATAATGCAGTTTGGATGGCATATTGCAAATAAGGAATGGCCACTCATTGAATGAGACAGAGACTGTATGCTGAATATAGAAATGAATGTGTAATTAAACACTCTAAGACAAGGGATGCATGTTGGGAGAGAGCAAATTAAGGTTGTATAGGCAATCCAATTTATGGCATTTTTCTACTTTGGAGTATTGAAAGTTATGAAGTCTCTTGTGTACAGTCAGGTTCCTTCATCCCAAACTGGTCCCACAATTAAAGTAGCACCCCATGCTCAAAAATGTGTCCCTCTTTTCATCATCCTTGCCAAAGCTTCCTCTTCCCCTGTGATTCTCTCAGAGTTTTCTGTGACGCACTTGGATTTTTTTCAGTTCTAGTATCAACAGGTTTGGGGCTTTTATTATTTCCAACCTCTGACTTCCTGCACAAATATGGCTGAACTGGTTGTCCTGGTCTTCAGCCATCTCCTAAGGGACACCTACTTAAATCGGAGTCATCAAGGTTTCATGACTACAGTCCTTTTGAGATATATGACAAAAGTCCTGACAGCATGTAGAGTCATTCATGGGTACAGCACTCTCATAACCTTAACTACAATTAGTAAGTTATACATAGGCAGATATCCCAAATCAGCACACTTGATTTCTTGTGCATGTGAAACTGCTTGAGTCTGAGTTATCAATCATGCAAAGGACCGGTGCATTCTGGCAATTAGATCCTTTCCATGTGGTGTTAACTTATTTAAAGCATGGCTCGGAGAATGATCTAGAACCTTTTCCTGATGGTCTACAAGACAAAAAGCTTTAGGTGCCCAGCAGAGGGTGATTAAGTGCTGGTTAAGGAGGTAGGTCCATAAGAGGGAATTATCCCATAAGGGAACTATCAAATGAAAAATTGTGAGGAAGCATTTTCACAGTGATCAGCTTATGGCCTACTAGTAGGTTAACAACTTGAGGAATCCAAATGGGTTCTGTTTTATTCTTTCTTCCTCACACAGGATTTGTAGTTATTGGGGAGCATCCCTCCAAAAGAACCCAATGTAGATTCACAAGCGTCCATGCATTTTCTTTGTTGTTTCAGTCCTGCCTTGTGTGTATATGTCTATGCCAGTCCAAGTATCTGCTCTTTGTGCCTATTGCAGTTTTTGTTATTTGGGCATCTTGTGATATTTGGTGGGTTACTTAACATAACTCCAGTAGTCCCAGGTTTATGTCAGAAAAATATCAGGTTATATAAGCACAATAAGGCAACTAAAAAGAACTTGACATTCTTATTTTAAATCTAATTATTTTGAAGCCAGTCTTTTGATGCAAGGTTCTGCTTCATCTTTTGCTAAGGTTCGGAATTGGCAATATTGCTGATTGCCCCGATGTATATTTGCTACTGTGTAGGTGTGTGCCAGTTTTGGTGCATCTCTTACGTGTGTTTGTGTATTCATTGCTGTTTAAGCCCTGCTTTTGTGCATTTCTTTGTTTCAGTACATATCTGATGTAGGATGGTGGGTTTCACAATGTGGGCTGTGTGCGCCTGTTTTTTGGGGTGTGTAATGCTTAGTTGAACTTCAGAGTGTAATGTTTCTGTTGTTCTTTACTTCTGTGTGGACACTGCACTGGTTTTCTCAGTACAATGTGTATCTATGGTGCTGTGGTGTTTCACAGTATAGCATGTGTACACCATCCCATGGTGAATTTCTCAGTGCAGTGTATATGTGTGCATGTAATGCAGTGGTGAGTGTCTCGGGGTGTGTGTGTGTGTGTGTGTGTGTGTGTGTGTGTGTGTGTGTGTGTGCACGCATGCACTTGCACTCACAAAATGCAGCAGTAGGTTTCTCAGTGCAGTGCGGTATGTGTATTTGTGCAATACAGTGGTGGATTACTCATTGCCATTTCTATGGGCCCACACCACACCCTGGGGGATTTCTTAGTGTAGTCTCTGTGTATGCTTGTGGCATGTAGTGCCGCATGTGCATATGTGTGTGCATGCACAATGCTGTAATAAGTTTCTTCGTATAGGACGTGTGTGCATGTGCAATGCAGTGATGGATGTGTCAGCTCAGTGCATGTGTGTGTATTGCAGTGGTGGGTTTCTCATGCTGTGTGTGCATGTGCAGTTCAATGGTGGGTGTCTCAGCTCAGTGCTGTGTGTGTTGCAGTACTGGGGTCCTCAGGGCAGTGTGTGCACACGTAGGGGTGGGCTACTCAGAGCAGTGTGTGTGTGTACGTGTGCATGTTGTAGGGGTGGGTGCGTAAGGCAGTGTGTGTGTGTGTGTGTTTGTGTGTGTGTGTGCATGCACATTGTAGGGGTGGGTTTCTCAGGGTGGCGTGTGTGTGTGTCCGTCCGCGCACGTTGTAGGGGTGGGCTCTTAAGGTAGAGTGTGTGTGTGTTTTCTCTCCGGGCAGTGCGCGTGCAGAGGCGGGGCAGCGCTGAGCGGTGCGTGCGCCCGGCCCCGCGCTGCCCGTGCGGTGCGGTGCGGGGTGTGCGTGTGCGTGTGCGTGTGCGCGTGCCGGCCCGGCCCGGCCCG